GTTATCGTAAGAAGGAAAAGGCATTACTCTTCTCGACTTTGTCTATCCTTTTTTGTATTTTGTCTGGGAATCTCGTTGCTGACTAGTCTTAGACATAAGGCATAACCTCACAATGGACCCAACGTGAAAAAGAGGGGTGGCTCAAAAGATAACAGTTTACCATTTCATTCAATGTGAAGGATATGATTTACATTATGATGCTTAGCAAATGCTTGAAATAAAGATTTGTTAACTATAATTCAAATACATATAGGAGATCAATAAAGGAGAGTCAATGGAATTCTTGAAGGTCAAGTCCATTCTAATCACCTCCTTTCTTTGCCAAAGAGACTCATTTCCCGCCACAGGACATTGTGATCCAATGCATTGTTGATCTTGATGTCCTCCAAGTTATCCATATTCTCAAGTAACCTTTTTATTTTTCCAAGCTGCTCATGTTCAATGTGTCACTTTCCACTAATTGGCGTTCAAGGAAGTGTTGGTTCTCTCAACCTCCTTAGTACACTCCAGCTTATGCCTTGGTAGAGTTGCGAATTTCCAGTGATCCTCTGCAAAAACAACGTGGTCTCTACTGGCAATTTTTCTCTTCTTACTAGTTACCATGAAATGTCTGTGTCCCTGTTCATCTCCATGATCCTCACACAACCAATCTTAGAATGTCAGAAGACTATATTGTTTTCCTCTTCCAGGTTACCTAAGAGATTGTTTGCAAGTGCATCATCTAAAAGATTCTCTATCAAGGGGCACAATGACTGGCCCGATCCTGAAATTCCGATTAGTTACATAATGTTCGAAGTGTTTAAATACTATAAAGAATGTTTCTCTTTTTGATGTGGGACAATGTGAAAAGTTTTGACATTTTTTTTAATATAAAAGATTAACATCTTTTATATTCAGAACGAGTTTTATATTCAGAATGATGGTGTGCCCTACCCAGAGCACAGCCATATCTGCTCCCTGGTTCAATTCAAATGGGATAATAGATTTTGTAAAGGGTCACTTCCTGAATAGGTGATTGACTATTCAATGTCTTGATTCTTAGCCCAAAAAAAGAGGCATGACCTTTTCTACATACCCAAAAAATTCTTGCCCCCCCAACCCCTTCATCCCCTCTTTCTCTCTCTCCAACAAACCATGAGCAACAACCCCTTCTGCCCCTTTCTCTCTTTCTGCTGTGGGGAAAATAGGAGCCCAAACCAATGTCTCTCTGGCCAGGGAGCCAAAATTCTGCTTCTCTCTGCTGCATCCTCCTCTCGACTACAAAGATATAGGAGATTGAATAAGGACTTGTCCACTTTCTGTCATACCATTTCATCGAATTTCTGGCGAGTACCCTCTCTCAACATGCTTTTCACCTCCCTCCCTCCACTTCTTACTCTTGTAGTACTTACACTCTATTTCCTCCCCTTTGCTTGACATTTTCTTTCCCATCGCCCTCTCTCAACCTCTCTCTATCGCGAGCCCTTTAACCCATTTCTCTATCTTTGGACTCTGCAAATGGACTTTAAAATCTTGTTGAAGTGTTTTGGATGCAACTTTCCTGCTCAATGTTTCTCATGTGGTATGGGATGGGTTGTGAATTTTTTGGAGTGGTATTGTTTTGATGTGGGCACTTGAGGTGAACATTAATTGTTGTCTTTTTTTGAAATTGTTAGAAGGGGGCTGGTTTTGGAACTTTGTCAGGACATCTACTGTTTTAATGTGTACCCACTTGAAGGGTATATCAATTTTTTGTAATATGACATGGGCAGGTAAACGCTCTTTTCTCCTCCCTTTCTCTACCTCTAATTCACTCTCCTCTCTTTATGTCTGATACTTTTGACTCTCTACTCTGCCTTTTTCTTTCCCTTTAAGCCCTCTTCACGCATCTGTCCTTGAACTCTGCAGTGGACTTCAAAATCTTTTTTAAGTGTCTCACAAGCAACTTTGACCTGCCAACTGTTTCATTACAAAATTAGGAAAATCTAAGCTCAAGTTACATGATATGTATTAACCTAACCTTCTTATCATACGACAAAAAATGCCTTGCTCATCAAGTGCCTTTGCACATCAGAACAGTACCATTCCATAAAAAAGCTAAAGAAAAAAACTGACAAAATTGTGCAGAAAAGTTGCCCTTAAAATACCCAAACTAGATTTTGATCTTTATTTAGAGTGCAGAGAAGGGGGAAGATATGGGTAAAAGGGCTTGAGTGACATAGAGAAAAGAGGTTGAGGAGTTAAGAGAAAAGGTGGGAGCAAATAGAGGATTAAGACGAGTAGGTTAGAGATGCAGAGAGGGAGGTCAAAAAAGTGTTGAAGAGAGATGGTAAATCAACAGAAATTTGATGAATTTTTTATCCTGAAGAGTGGGCGAGTCATTATTTTGTCTCTTGGTATTTCCTTGCAGCAAAGAGAGAAGGCGGTGGGGATTTGACTCTTGGTCTTTCTGATTACTGGACAGGGAGGGGGGAGGATCATGCAGATTGGTGTGGGTTTCTAGGTATGGTTTAGTGTTAGATTGATTCCAAGGTAGGGTTTGATTAGAAGGTGGTATTGATGGTTTTGGTAGATGGCATGGCTGGTTAAGAGATTAGTATTTGAGAGGCATGGGTATGTGTAGAAAGGGATAGATGTATGTGCTGAATGGAGGTTGATGGATGTGGAAAGAAGTGAACATATATATATGGGGGGAGAGCATGGTCGGCAGAGAGGGGATAGAGGAAGAAATAGCTTCTTGAGGATGAAAGAAGATGGACAGACTGGCCTTGTATAGATTTGGCACAACAAATATAATCAATAATTTTTTTTGTTTGGAATCACTACAAGAAGGATAAAAGCATCACCACGCCAGATAGAATATTCAAGCAATTTTATTAACCAAAACATGGTGTGGACAATTGTCGTGTACATGTACTTATAATTCCTTTTTATTCGTAATTCTATTTTAGCTTGATGTCCTCCCAAATCTAAAACTCGGCTACTGCTCTAAAGAATAAAAGATAACCCAAATAATTTGGGAAAGAGTTATGAAGACCGGACAAACCAGCTGGTCAAACTACTGTCCTGGCCGTTCACTTCTAATATAATCTCAAATCCGGTGTGGGCCTAGACTCTTAGTCAACGTAGTGGGTTCTTCCAACCAAGGGATCAATTCTGCTCTAGAATTTCACCCCTTTGCTCCTAGGAAATCTTGTTCCTCCCAAATTTTTGACCTTTGGAATCTGAAGCCCTCCTATTAGGATCGATTTCTTGAGTTACAAGGGTTTCAGATTTCCTATTGCAATATAGTACAACAATATCGTATCTCCGTATGGTATAGCAGTGTGATAATGTAGCTTTTTGCTCACTAGTTTTTTTAGCATTTAATGAATACTTTGATACCTTTTTAATAGTTTCTTTTTAAAACTTGTCAGGCCAGTCTAATTGTTGGACTGGTTGGGTCAAACCCAACTCTCCATCAGTTCAACCTTTGGTCCAGTCCTTTTAACACGAGGAAACCGCTAATCCATGTAAATAAGGGAACCCAAAATAACTAAATTAAAATTGAGTTAGAAATCCTAATTAAAGCTCAACGCTTATTAGATTGAAATTTCCTTGCTGATTTTGTCACTGGACTTCTGGCCAAGATTTGAAGCCTGAAACACTGGAATTGGGAGAAAATCATTAAAAAGGTTGCGATAGACTTGGAAAGATCTTCAATTTGAGCTTTGGACCATGTAAGATCGACATCTAGGTTCAATATTACAGGCCTTGGAAGTAGATTGCATCAAAGTATCCTATGATTCCCCCTTCATATGGCAGCCTGGTTGTTATCTTTCGCATTTGACACATTTTTGCTTTAAAACAGTGCACAGAATGCCCCCAATGATGGTGTTGAGAACCCACATGTTATGATATACAGATATAATAAACTTAGCAAAAACAAGGTATACATATATAGTATTACAGGACACATTCATTGCGAAAGTGCACTCAAATATTGAATGCAGCAGGCACTACCAAATAGGAAATAAATCGACAAAAGGAAATTAAATTTAGCATCTGTTAATTCAGAATTATTTTAACAAAAAGAAACATCCGTTAGAAATTAGGAGAAATTAGTGGGACTTTATTAGAGGAAAATTGGGAGCACTTTTATGTTGTTACATTAGAAACTGTACCCTACACAGTATGTGATTTATGTGACCATGTAACGTACTATCTAATGCACTAGAAGTTCTGTTTTGCATTTTGAATCTAACGCTAACTTGGTGAGACACAGGTCAACACGATCTTTGGCTAATATAACTGGAGGCCATGATTGCGGGCTTGAAAGAGCATTTATCTCACAAGTAAATTTGTTTCTTAATGGACAAGTATATAATTATTGGTATAGTTCTTTAATTCTTTTAAATCATTATTGATTCTTAAAGAAGTATGTTTTTGCATACAGTGGCTATGCCAGAAATTGGGTTTCTATGGTTACTATTAGATGAAGCGTCTTCTCTTTCTCATGAGGCTCCCTACCATTGCCATCTCCATTTGAAACAATCGCTAGTACAAAACTCAAAGTTGGGTACCAAACCAACAAGACGAGGGAAACTGACTAAAGTCCTCCTGTAGCTCCTGCCTCAGCCAAACATTGAATAGAAAACCTGATTCTGAGACCTTTTTAACACCCTCTACGATAAACCTAACTCCCCTAAATATGTCTTGCTCCTATAACACTAATACTTCTTCAAGTCCGAAGAACCCTCATATGACCTACTTGCCGCCAACACCCTTCCTCCTCCCTTGTACTTAATAGAGCCATACTTATTCTCAATGGCCCTTTTCGGAAGCCATTAATTCCACTTGATCATTGGAGCTATTGCCTTGGGGAATCTCAACCCGATAGATAATTGTTGCATAATTGTTTCGCGTAAAAAAATTGCAAATACATCTGTATATATGTATCGTATGTGTTATTTATCCATGTATATATGTTTGTGTGCAACTCTTCTTACATGTATATATATATTCATGCACGTAACCATGTCTTTATGCGTGTATATGTTTTTCCTTGTATGGTGCAGGTATCATTACAATGTTGCGGATTCAAGACTTCACCAACATGTGGAGAAGGGAAATGAGGATGGATTGTACATTAGTTGCATCGCTTCTTCATTGAATCTTTGGGCTTTGATTATGGATGCGGGTACAGGATTTACTTCCCAGGTTTATGAACTCTCAGCAATTTTCTTACATAAGGTTGGTTTCTTCCTCTACTTGAGAAAAAAAGGAAAGTGGGTAAAATACGTTGGGTTTTTTTTTTACTCCCATATCATTTACTGTATCCATCATTTATGCCCATGCGAAAAGTATACGCCCTTGGGAAAAGTACACCATAGTCCAATGGATTGTGAAGTGTCATAGTTTATTGCGGTCATCACCTTCCAATGAAATGATGGATGGTAATGGAGTGGGGCCTACCATTGTGATTTCTTCCTGCTCCAGCAGTATCTACTTGATTTCCATTGTTGTTCATCATTCTGTTGGATGACGATGACCCCAAGTGACTATAATGTGTTGGACTATAGTGCACTTCCCCTTAGGACAACAGTGTCCTATGTAAATCCAACGGGTAACTAGTTGAGCTTGGCTTTTGTCACTTGTTTGTGTTCACTTAAAGTTCTTTCTGGTTCAGGACTGGATTATGGAGCAATGGGAAAAAAATTACTATATCAGCTCAATAGCTGGGGCAAACAATGGAGGCTCCTTGGTTGTAATGTCTAAAGGTAAGTTTAGCATTTTCTTCTTTCTCTATTAATTATAGTTTTACTACAACTAATTAATAAAGCTGATTGTTAGTTAAAATTCTTATTTTCATGTGTTGGTGCCCAAAGTAAGTAAAGAAATATGATTCCATAAGTGAGAGAATGGGTTATTTGGATTAACTAACTTCGATAAAATTCTTGTTTTCATGTGTTAGTGCCCAAAGAAAGTAAAGGATTATGATTCCATTAGAGAGAGAATGGGTTATTTGGATTAACTAACTTCGATATCTATCAGCTTCACTTCGGTTGTGCGTGCTTGTGTATGCATGCCTCAGAGAGAGAGAGAGAGAGAGAGAGAGAGAGTAGTTACTAATTTGTTTACTTTTTTTCTTTTTTACGTGTGTCTTAGTTTAATTTAATTAAGTCGACTACGTACTTAACGTAAGTCGTTCTACTTATAGTTAGTAAGG